TGGAGCGGGAAAAAGAATTTTGTGCTATTGCCGATGGTACGTTGGACATTTACATGGAACAATTGAATAAAGAGACGGCCGATAATATTAATGGTGGTTCTGAAGATGAAGAAAATACTGAAGTACCAGGCGATATCATTAATAATTTTGGTCGATATACTTTGGACATTGATGACTCAAGTGAGGGTAACTATCATCGAAGCAACGATCTTGGTGATGATCTTTTAAACAATAACTCGAGAGACAACAGCCAAAAAACGTACTTGGAAAAATTCAAGTTACCTGACCGGCTATCTAAGGCTGAATTTTACGAGCTGGTATCCAAGTTGAACACAAAACAACGCGAATATTTCACGCACATCCTAAATCATATAAGATACAATCGTGATAGAGTGACAATCCGCATGTTTAGTAGTGACAACGAGTCTGTACGTACCTTTGCAACGTTTCGTAATTTTGTTACTGGTGGTGCCGGTGTAGGAAAACGAATGCCAATTAAAGCATTGTGTGAAAGTATAAATGTGGAATTCGACGGTGAAAGGGATACAGAAATAAACACACCGATTGTTTTGCTTACCGCACCCACCGGTAAAGCTGCTTTCAATATCAATGATCAAACCCTACATGGCGCATTTCAGCTTCCAGTAAACCAGTATGGTAGTGGTGGTGTCAACATTCTTTCTGCAGACGTTAGCCACTCTATGGCAGTTGCATCAAAATATTTGAAGATTTTAATTATTGATGAAATTAGCATGGTCGGATATTTCATGTTTTCTTGGATTGACAAATGACTTTCAGACATTTTTGATGAATCCCTCCCATTTGGTGGATAATCTGTTATTGTTCTTGGTGTCTTTTTCCAGCTCCCGCCGGTCATTTCCTCGCCTCTCTTTTCAACAAATTTACCTAAAAGACCCTTATCTTGCAGTATTGGGTAATAACTGATGGAAGGATCTCATAATTGACAAGCTGACCCAAATTGCGAGGCAAAGGGACGACTTGCGCTTTGCAATTGCATTGAACAACAAGGCCATTGGTGAGATGACACCAAATGACATACAGTTGTTCAAAAGCCGAGTTCTCCGCATGACAGAAGAAGAAAGGATCACATTGAACAATGGCCAACCAATTTTCCCCCACCTGAATGTCGTACGGAGTTTTGGTCAAAGCAATGTTGAAAGACCAATATGCCTGTTTCATACGAACGCTGAAATAAGTGTCATGAACAACGCTATTTTAGATAAAACGAACACAGAGGGTAGTTTATCTGTTGGTTTTGATTGTAGCATTGGTAATTAACCAAAGAAATTTGATGTGGACCGTATTCTTGCCTCGGTGTCTGACGATTCCACTCACAGTTTGAAAACTCTGGGATTGCTAAAAACATTAATCCTTAAAATCGGATCAAGATACATGATTGTAGTCAATATCGACACTTCCGATGGATTGGTAAATGGCAGCACTGGTTATTTGGCGAAAATTGATTTTGGGACATTAAGAAACAATCCGGCAAGTGAAAAAAACCGTTACGCATTTGGCTGAAATTCAGTGATGAGAAAAGTGGCGCTATCCTGCGCAAATACCAGGTGATATTAAGACAAGTTAATCGCATTTTGGACGATACATGGACTATGATTGAACCTTGTTCTCTCATAATCACATCTGACTTTACAACCAAGCTACAAGTCGACAGAAAGCAATTTCTTTTAGGACCGGCAGAAGCCTTAACGACTAACAAGTATCAAGGTGGAACTTACAAAGATGTTGTAGTTTATGATACTGCAAAACATAGAATGAAGAGGTCACTCATTTATGTCGGATATTCACGGGCAACTACCGCTGCAGGACTTACACTTATTTCCAAAAACAAGAAGTTTATCCCACCCAAAGCACTTTCGTCAGAAAAAAATAGCGCTCTTTACAAAGAAATCAAACGACAGCTTCCCATCACTCTTTCTCCCACATTGACTGTCTTTGTAGCAAAAGTAGGCTTAAAGAGGATAGTTTTGCAGAAAAAAAGGTAGAAAAAAACAATAGGATCAATTAGAATTCTTGTCAGAGTTTATTGATGTTAAAGTTAACTGAAGATTTAGGAAGAGGAAAAATAAAGAGTATTTATAATAAATGGAATGGACGAGGCTGAGGATACTACTCTTAACAATATGAGTATGCTATCAATAACAATATCTATATTGGACAATTAGTGCTACGCATAATCAATAGAGAAATAATAACAATAACATGTCTTAAGTTTGGACATTGGTGTTACGATACCGTGACACTTTAAAATAGTGACCGGCTTTAGCGAATTCCTTTTTTATGCCTGATCATGATTTAGCTATCATTTATCAGTGATGATGAGATATGAATTTATTATATGTACAATCTATATGTGTGATTTAGCACAGTCTTAACCACAAAATCTCATTTTCAAGTTATATCACACAATGTCCAGAGTCTAAATGCTCACTTGAATCAAATCATCAACGATCCGGTATATTTGTCCTCTGATATTATAATGTTAGACGAAACATGGACTTTATCAACTGATAACTTTCAAATTCCTGGTTTTCAACTTTAGCCATTTTTAAATTGTTCAGGTAATACACGTAAACCCATCGGTAGTTGCTGTTATGTCTCAGATAAAAAGATGTTCGCTATTGAATTACAATCCGTTCCGTTTTAATCCTTTTTTTAAAAATATGTTAAAGAGTCTGTTTATAGGTTCAAATCTTTACCTTGTATCAATTAATTTTGCATCTTACTGTGAATCTTTTTCTTCTTTTACATGTGCTGTTCAATGTAATTTTCCCTTTGCCTTTTTGTATGTTAATTTCTGTCATCTTTTTTAAGTGAAGGGTCTCTTTAAAGGATACTATTTTGAGACATCTTTTCTTCAACATGTTGTATTTGGTCTCTATTTTATTGATGCGCGGGCATAACTATCTTAAATAAATATGCAATAAAGATCCGTATAAATTACCACTGTTCCTTTTTTATTATTATTAAATTAGAGCATGTCATTTGATTTAAAAGAAAGTTCAATCTTGGGATATAAATCGTTTTTGTTTTCATTCTCCCAATTAGGTACACAATCCTCTCTTCAATTCCAGCTAAGCTCCTCGTAGATGCAACCATTATTTTACCAGTTATTAAGGGCTAGCAAGGAAAAACACTGATTAAGGACGGTATCATAAGAAAAAAGAATAATATGAAGCTCCCTTAAAATTTATAATAAGTGGGGGACAGTTACCACTTTATAGCTAGTGTAAACATGGATTTTAAAGGCACGGCTTTTTTTGTGATGAGCAGGCATAGCAACGAAATCCAACAAAAGGAATAGGAGTCAATCGGAACACCTATTTTAAATTTACATTCAAAAGGGAAGGCTCCTTTTTTATACCGTTCATTTAACATGCCAAGGGTAGTCTGTCTGTGTGTTTAATCCATAGTCTGTATTCCCTTAGTACCTGTATATTTAAAAGATGTAGCCTACACGTATAAATTGCATACATGTATATTTTTTGCCATAATTAACCGTTAAACTAGTCGGTTATAAACAAGGGCATGCTGATACTTATAAAATAACATCCATCTTATGATGGTATAAATCATACTTTTTTTTTTTGCAAAGGAATACAACAGCGGCACCAGAAAAGCATTTTTAAAAGACAAAGCAGTGTTGTAAACTTGATAGTTATGATCAGACATGATGGCTTACTTGTAAAATACATGCATGAGACATGTTTGTGTCCCTATCAGTATTACAGGTAACACCTATTGACTGCACATAGATTTCTGCTGCCTATAAAAAAAAAGAATTAAATACAGCCGCATTATGTAGAGTCTCTTATAGATTATAGTGTGCGTGAAATAAGAGGGTATATGGAGACGTTCTATTTTTATTGAGTGTCAGTTGGTATGTCTTTATTAAATATCATTACTCTGTATTTAATATTTATAAACAACTCCCCATTCTTAGCATAAGGGGGAGGGGGATTTTTTATTACTTATGGTAGTCCTCAAAAATAAACTCTATGGTTGCTTCTTTCTGCATGATAAAGAAAAAAGAGAATTACAGGTAAGGCATTATACAGCGCATCATCGACATACTCGTATAAAAAAATAATAAAAACTATTACCCCTCCAATTTTTAATATATTAATTGTGCTAGTTTTATGCTTTTATAGCCCCTAAGATTAAAGTCATTGAACCAAGTATATATTACAAAACGCAGGCTGTTCTTTTATTTTTATTATTTTCATAAACTGATAAACGTCAGTATCTCCCCTCCCCCCGTCCTTTTTTTTTATTTATTTCCCACCTGAGGTAAAACGGTTTTTATTTTCCCCCTTTAAATAAATGCAACAGGTAGTATGTGTTTTTATGTAATGGTCTGTGGGTTATATGTGTCGATCCAAACTAAAAGCCAAAGTAATAACTATGTGATTTTATGATTCCATTTTATGGGATGACAGCCAAATGGTTTTTTAAGAATAGGTATTTCATGCATCTTTTAAAACGTATGGCAATGAAAGCTTTAATTTTATTTTTGTTTTTACTATTTAGTGTGGAAGCAAGGATTGTGGAATAAAGACACTAAAGTTACCTTTGGTAATAAAGTAAGAGTAGTATTCAATAACGCACTCGCGCTGGTGTGATGGGAAGAACGCGTAAAAGAACAATGTATTAATTTAATTTGTATTCTTGCATAAAAAAAAAGTCGCTTTTGACAGGTACGCGATCGACTCTTCGTGCAATTAAAAATATGGCGATTGACTCCGCTTGCATTTAAAAAGAAGCAATTGATGTCAAATTTGTGTCTTTTCTTTTTTTTCTCTTTATCGTCAAACGATTAAAATGCCTGAGCCTATAAAGAACCAGCTTAAAAAAATGTTTGATGCATTGAAACAACATTGTAAGTACATGGTATGGTTGTTCATGAAAAGGAAAATAGCTAATTGTATTCTATAGATCCAAACCAACATACTCAAATAATCATGGAATGTTTGGATGAAGCAGAGATTACTTTGCCAGCAAAAGGTTAGCTCTTTTTTATTCTTTAAAAAAAAAGGTATATTTGTGCATGTACCTTAACATGTACATAATCAGATCAATCAACAGTATTGCCTGTTGAAGGAAGACCAATGGCAACACCAAGAAAAAGAGTCATACTTGAGGAGACAAGTGCCAGTGGTTCTGGTAAGAAACGAAAAACATACAGAACGAATCCCTATATCGATGATGAGGCAGAATGTTCTGATGACGATCATAAAGACAATGATCATCATCAGGAAAATAATATTTCTAAGGCCAAAGACAATAATAAAACCAATGATAATTCGGAGCACAACAAGAATGATAAGGTAGATGTAGAGCAGTTGAAACAAACTGCGAAATCACTTCTTCCGGACTTGGAGAAAGTTCAAGAGAAATTAGAAGGATTGGCTGAGGATGTCAGATTGAAGAGGATCGATGTTCCAATTGCACCTCAATTACTTGATGATACTAATAAAGAAGCGGTGACGAAGTATATTGTTGATATCCATCGATATCATGATAGCGGGGAACGATATAGAAATCTGGGATTATTAATCCAATACGCTGGTGCATTCCGTTTGTTTTGCCTCTGTGAGACAATCAAGAAAGATTACCCAGGCTTTCATGCTACAGTTGTAGATTTTTTAAAAAGTAATTAAGACTACTAATAATAGTAAAAACAACAACATCGAATTAAAACTAACATGTAAAATAGAATGCAATTATAAATATTCCAAGATCGACACCCTGAAAGCAGCCGGTAGAAAATTCAACTTGCTGTTACAGCATTTCAATCAGGGCGCAGCAGTAATTTTTACATTGTATTCGACAAATCAGATGCGAAGATTCAATGATAGAGACATTCATGCTATCATTGGTTATATTAAGAAAAACAAGGATTTGACGGAGAAGTTACGTGCTTTGAAAATTGATGACAGCACGCTTAAGAATATCGGCGAATTAGCCTATGTAGATTTTAAACCAATAAAAAATAAGCTAAAAATATAATTAATGTTGCGTATGTGAAATGAATTACTTTTACTTTTTTAAAAGTTGCATTGTTTGACTGATTATGATGATCACACAGTAGAATATCAAAGGGGAGAGCACTTAAAAAAGACCGGGTTCTATTTTTTTTCTTTTTGTCCTTTTATTTTTAAAGAGTCACGGCTCTTTACAATGTAACGCACAAGAAAATGGAAGTAATGTAATGTGAAAGACTAACGCGGTAAGTCGTTCTATTAAAGTGCCAAGACCTATGAGAAGGAATCAGTACGAGATTTTTCTTCCATGTATAGAGTCATCAGTTTGGGTAGAGGAATTGCAGTCAGCAAAGAGAGAGTGAAGTGATAGACAAGGAACACGAACCCCGAGCGTCTTTATAAATGAGTCACGCTAAACAAGAAAAGGAAAAGGGAGACAGTATCATGGAGGCCTGTTCATGATAAGCGCTGATATAGCGCTAGTACGAATTTAGGTTTAAAAAGGGACAATTATAATTTTATAACAATTGTGATAGTGAGCACCAGGCTTTTAGTTGTCAACTTAGTTTTATTGTTTATTAAGAGTATTTCTGTAGTGATCTTAGACGATAAAATATATGGATAAGACAATTAAACGCAAATCGATAATAATACAGTGAGAGATGAGAAGAGAATATAATCTTAGATGTCAAAGAGAAAAGAGTTTACGACGGGTTTATATAAGAAGATGATGTGATTGTATAATTTACAATAGACAACAAACAGCAACAAAAAGAGGAGGAAATACTACTAGTATCAATTACAAGATAAATCCCAATTTTAGGTGAACACAAAACCAAATAATATTTCTTAAAAGTGAAAAAAAGGAAGTGTATTTATAGGAAAGATCGTATCCTGTGTAACGACAAGCCGCATTATTATTGGCTGAAACAGCGCATTGGTTGATGGCAAAATAAAGTAGCTTCTTTATGAAGGGGGCTTACTAAAAGTGCAAGGGGGTTGACTTTGAACAGTACTGATAGATTCATTTTCTTTGCACAGAAGGATGATGAGAACGAGTAAAGAATAATACTGCACAGGCAAAAAAAGATTCAATGGGGGTATGGTAAAGCAAACAACGCTAGCACTAAAAGGATGTATCAAAAAAGACTGAGAAGCTGATCTTCTTAATATATTTCTTCGTGCAACTTGTAAAGATGAAAGTATAAGATTGTAGTGTATATTATGATTAACAGGATGAAGGCGTGATGGCATTCAATACAAACCATAAAATGCATTCTTAAATAAAGGTTAAGAGGAACATGAGCCTGTATATTTTGTTATATAAAATAAGTTGGTACTAAAGTAAGGCATAGGATAAAATAAGTCATTGTACTGAACAAAGAGCATGTGTATAAAATGGAAAATAGTGGACAAACTTAAGTACTCTTTTTTTTATTTTATTTTTTACTTGATAGTTTAATTTATATCTAAAGGGCAATACAATTAGAAGGTCGATGTAATCTCTATTACTGAGAAAATGGTGTATGGACGACGTGTCTGTTTGTAAAGAAGGAACAAAGGAAACACGTAGCCACATATTATATATGAAATGTGACGTTTGCGTTGGGCGCGAGCACAATCAAAGGCCAGCACAAAATCTCCGCATACGTCATCTATCTGTCATGAACCACGTACTTTGCACTTTGCCCCTGACCACAAATCCCTGACTATTGGAATTTTCTGGAATCTCATGCTGAGATTCAACAACCCCAGTGTCCAGAACCTTCCAGGCCTTCCAAGACTATCCACGCAATGAACCTCCGCTTCCAAGAGATTAGTAATCATGACTCGTTTCCAAGTATCACCGACGCCAAGCAATTAGTAATCATGACTCATGGGTTTCCGCCACGTAAGCTGAAACCAACACTAAGACTAATTAAGTAAGCCAAGACATTCTTAAATGCAAACCCATGTTATCGAAAAAGATATAAATACTCCCCCTTTCCATCGCCATCCCCGTTCCATGTCGATTATCTTGTATCCCTCCCCTTCCCTGCATAATCTCTTTATTATTACTGAATACTTTTAAACCTCTCTTCCTTTGTCTTTGTATAACTAGTAGGTATCTCCTGATATTATTGCTATAATATATTCCTAGCCACGTTCCTGACACTTTCAAATGATCCACAAGACCTAAGGGCTGAAGCATCATTCAAGCGCTCTTTAAAAGAGGCATTTATTTTCAACAATACTTATCATGCAGATTTACTTGAAAGTATAAATAAAAAGGGTAAAACTATCTCAAGCTAGCCACAATCACAACCACAACTACAGCCACCACAACTTGCAGAGGTAAGAAATTTTCCACTTCTTTAAGTGTTCACTCTTCACTCATTTATACACTGTAGATCCAAGAAGAAGATGGGCTATTGTTACAAGGATTGGAAAGGTCTGTGGGTGCAATTATCAAAACCTCAGCTATCTCACTCTATCCTAATTATTATCAAGATAATACATTGAAGCCAATTATTACGTAAGTAAATTATCATGTAATATCTTTAAAGGAAGACACAGTGCTAACTCATACTTTACGTGTTAGGCTTGGTTTAAACAGTATTTTGGATTTGTCGTATAATTACTCGGAAGCTCAGTCAGTGTTATTCACTCCTGATCAGTGGAGAAAGCTGAGAACTTCACTTGCAAGAAAGGGGAATGCAAGGTCACTTGCTATGACATCAAAAGTCGAAAAGATGCTGTGTAGAGCAGAGCCGTTAGCCGAAAATGATATCATTAAGGCTAGTGATTACATCTACAAGTACTTATATAAAAAAAAGCAAGTTAACACAAGACGAAGCTTTCACTCTGTTTGCCCATGCTTTTATTACCGAAGTTATGGCTCATAATCAATACATGTTTGACAACAATATTAAAAATAATGAGCAAGACTTTATTGTCAAATTCTGGGGGCCACTGTTGGAAAAGCTTGTGCAAAATACGGGTTTACGATTGAGATAAGGCGAAAGCTCATGCTCAATGTTGCCAAGCCGCCTGAGGGCTGACGTTCGCGTCATTTACGATAGACGAGAAGGACAACAGCACCAGGAGTACGACATGATGAAAATGGAAGCTAGTCGAATGCATCCTCCGAAGCAAAAGTTCGACTTCGACCATACAAAATTGCTAGTAGAAACCAAAGATATCATTGACTCGCTGGAAAGTGACATCAAAAGGGAAATGAGTTGTTTTCCATTCTGTGGGTTAGAAATTTTTAAATATAGCCTTAATCATGAATTCAACACCATCTATGTCAACAACCAGGTTGATTACCATATCATTCCCTCTGATGTCACAAATTTCCAATTCATGAGATCTCTTTGCGTTACCTTGGTAGCTACCCGAGATGAATGGATGAGTTGTAGAAACCTTACCATGAATGCAAAGGACAATGCAAATGTTTCGTATCCAAGCTCGAGCATCAAGAAATTAAATGAGTCAGATGAATTAAAGAAAAGCCCATCGTGGTACCCTCCCCGACCCAACCAAAGAACATCTCCTGTGATGGCTATCCCCGTCAATTTACATTGAAAAATTGATTTTCTTTATTTCTATGATTTTTTTAAAGTCAAGGGGTTTTTTTTTATTTTTATTTCCAAGTATTAAATTATCATTGTTCGTATAAAAAAATTCTGACATGTGTTTTCTATCTAATGATTTAAATTACTGTGATGAAACAAAAAAGAACATGACTTTTATTCCATGTAATTAAACAGTGCTCGTAAACAATAAGGAGTTGAACAAAACCCGATATGCACTTATTGGCAACAGAAAAAAAAATCATTATTGGACTAGCTTCAAATATGTGATACTATAAAAAAGAAAAAATGGAATATAGAGCAAGTGTTGCAGCCAATAATAATATGATTGATTGTTACGCAGGATAGGATACTTCTTATAAAAACTCTTCTTTTTTTTGTAATAAATGATCTTCTATTTTTTTTGGTGTGTTTGTGGTGTGGCGACACCCAATTCCTCTCCTACCCATCGCTTTAAAGAGATTCCGCAATATCGTACCCCTCGTGCGTCTTCACCAATGGGATATTGCCGACTTTTTAATAGTGAAGGGCGACAAAGATATCATTCTTGTTGTCGTTGACAGCCTCCGTCAAGCACAGAAAACCATGTATAAACTTCGCTCTTCATTATTACCTGCTAACCTTCAGCCAGAAAATAACCTCAGATGTTTTTGTCTCTTGCAAAATGGCAATTTGCTACTTGCGCATGCACAGCTTCAACGTGATTTTTTAAAAATAATTATGTGTGTATCTTTTATAATATATGCTTATCTGTAGTTGTATTTTACTTTTTTAAATTCTCATCATCAAAGTAATAGACTAAAATAATTTGTTTTCTCTACATACGAGCATATGCGCCACAGTCATCATAGGAAGTATTAGAGGGTCGAGTGGAAACAGTTTATATCATCATCCGGTTTATTTCTCTTTTTTTTTTTTCTCTCTCTCTTTTTTTATAAATTAACACCGTAAAACTTAATCGTGGTAAACTTCAATTTAAACCGAAACCTCCGGTCCCGGTCCAATTTTAGCTAATTACCTCTACCAGAGGTTCAGGTAACATTAGACTTGGACCGCAAAATCAAAAAAACGTAGATGACATAAGAATTGTAAAAAATTGTTATATAAAGATAGCAACCCCGGACGAAATCCGGACCGATAATTGCAAGAACGCTACCAGACGTAACAAAAACGAGCTCTTTTTAACGGTACTACTGTGGTCCCAAAGAACGGTGTTCCCATTGACTTATTGATGTTTTAGTGTCATACACTAGGTGCACTACATCAGTACCCCTGACGAAACATAGAAAAGAATTTCTTAAAATAGCTAAAAATTGTCGCACTTCAAAAATGTATAAAATGACCCCCCTTGGATGGGCTGAAATGTTGTTACACACGTTTAAAGTCAAAAATCCCGATTTTAAGCAGGGAAACGAAATTTAAATCGTTTTTAAGATAGATTTTAGAATTAACTTTAAGAATCCGGCTAAATTACATTTTGCGCCTTAACACGGGCGTTCGAATGATACTAGTTTCAACGCCGTTGGCCAATAATTGATTGGCTGGGAATGTTTTTAATAATCCAAAAATGGACAAAATATTTCAAACTCCGCTTTTGACTTTGTTTGCTTTTTTGGAGCAAAAAAACTTTTTTTTAGGTGTTGCTGAGCTGTGATTGGCTTAAAAATTACAACCGTTCAGTCGTTTGGTCTTTAGGTAGTGTATATTAGGCTCTAGCAATGAGATAGTAGACAGAATGCTGTTATAAAACTTTAATTTAGGAATAATTGCAGAATGATATTATTTCACCTCACCCTTCCAGTGCAAAATAAAAAAAATCATTTTGACCTCCGAGCCCACCAAAATTTGACCCTCATATTTTTTTTTACAGCCAAAACCACTAAAACCACAAGAAAACCACAAAAAAATTGGTAAACCACAAAAAAAAAATTTTAAAAAAAAAATCTTAATTGCGAGTGACTTTTGATTTTGGTTTCGCTGCTGTTTCACTTTAATAAAATTAACTTATAAACTAAAATGGGCCTTAGCAAAAGTAAAAAAAGAAAAATAGAAGAAGCTAATATTCGGGAAAAATGGTTATGTGCCGCTATGGAGGAGAAGGAGCGTAGAGAAGAGGAATTAAGAAGATTTCGGCCCCTACGCATTCCTGTCCATAATAGAAGCTCCCTCAATGATATTGCACCCGAGATTGCTGCACCCGAGACTACTGCACCCGAGATTACCAGCGATGTAATTGCCACTACCACTGATGAAAATAACAATGATCCCGATTTCCCTGACGATTTCAATGTGGAGATGTTAGTTCCTGGGGCTGAATATCATGATTGTGGAGATTATCAGGATGACGAGTGTGAGGTACGAATTCCTACAGAACATCAGCCGGTGGTACCTGTCATTGATTCCGAGATCGAATCCATCACCACCCAACCAGTTACCACCAAAACTGTCCCAAGAAAAAAGACAGCTTACAGACTTAAGCTGGAAAAATGTCAAATGCGTTGGCAAACTCTTATGAAGGCCTTGCCAGCATCTTACCTGTCTTACTTAGGTGAAAAAGGCAGCATGCCTGATATGATGGATGTCACTCCTGGCCCAAGAATGTCATGTGAGTGCTCTTCGGCCTACCTGGAAATTGTAGAAGTCGATTTATACTTCGTATCTGGTAAAGTAAAGTATTTATTTGCATTTCCTCTATATTTATCCAAAGTTTATTTAAAGGTGTGCAAAAGAAACAAAAGTTTCCATACTGCATCAGTTGTCAGTCATTGCCTGTTGCTTTGGTGAAATCAGGCATGTTCCCTCTTTCGCCCTTCAAACCGAAAGGGGCTCTGCATTTTAGTCTCTGCAATATGTTTATTGAACTGAGAAACATCTTCGCTGGTTCTGGTGAGAAGATTGCAGAGTTCTATGGTCGCTGGGCTGCAGGAACCGAGAAGGTATCATTTTGTAAATAATTATTAGCGTTTTATTAACTAAATCCATGTAGACCAACCTCTCGGGCGAATCATGCTCCAACGTCATCTTGATGTACAACAAGATGGTAGAGCTGTCTGAACAACTGGTGATGGAAGACGTTTCCACCTCATGTCCTGCTTGTCCTGAGGTTTGCAAAAAAAAAAAAAAAAAAAAAAATCACTACGTATTATTAACCATTTGAATATTTTATACACCAGGTGAATTCTAATGATGTTAAGGACAAGCAGTTTATGATGATGGATGGTAACTTCCGTTTAAAATGCAGGAAATCGTGGGCTGATCACGATGATGTGCCAAAGATCACTGGTCTTGATGGATTCAAGAAATTTTGGATGGATCGAGATTTGATCAAAAAATACGATAAGTCTGAACAGGTAATTAATAGTTATGGGATATTGTGATATAATGCATTAAAGTACATTTTTTGTTTTAAGAATACCGCCACCACCACCACCAACACCACCACCAACAACAACAACAACAACAACAACAACAACAACAACAACAACAACAACAACAACAACAACAACAACAACAACAACAACACCACAACAACAACAACAACAACAACAACAACAACAACAACAACAACAACAACACAACAACAACAACAACAACAACAACAACAACAACAACAACAACAACAACACAACAACAACAACAACAACAACAACAACAACAACAACAACAACAACAACAACAACAACAACAACAACACAACAACAACAACAACAACAACAACAACAACAACAACAACAACAACAACAACAACAACAACAACAACAACAACAACAACAACAACAACAACAACAACAACAACAACAACAACAACAACAACAGCACCGACACCGACACCGACATCAGCACCGCCGATGGTATATCTACCAAAAAGACTGCTGTGGAAGAACCTCGTGTCTTCCAAGCCTTAATGCACCAAAATCGAACCTCGGCTATTTATCCTGTGCGTGGCGTCTTTGGTAGTGGTTGCGCGAGACATGATATTGTATTCGGACTTGCAGACATGCATTCCGGGGAAGGGTAACATTAAATATTTTAGAGGTTATGTATTTTTTTTTTCATGGATTAATAGTTTATATAGGTTCAAATACCCTTTGGCTTCCATAGCTTCTGTTGAGAACCAGCTTAATAGAAAGGTTCCGTTGCATATCATGTATGACATTGTATGTAAATTGGAGCCATCTATTAAGGTATGTTGCATTTATAATCACCAATTATTACTCTATTAATTTACAAGTTTTAGCTGAACTTCCCCAGGATTGCCGGTTCTGACCGTTTGGGTTTGTCTGTATTCCATGCCTACGCCCATGTAATGCACTGTCAGGCCAAGTACAACCCGAGGTATATCTCTAACTTTGGGTTAACTGACGGTGAGGGCATGGAAAGACTTTGGTCCTACCTAGCCAACTACATTACCATGACCAAGCCCATGTCGGTTGAGAACCGGCAGTATGTCCTATACATGGCTGTCAAGTACAGGAATACGGCCATCAGGCTCAATCTGGGTACGTCAATTAAATGAAGACAAGACAATACATATTAACACTAATTCTTGTAAAATGTTTGCATTGGTAGCTAAAACCTTAAAGGAGAAAATCCGTCGCTTTGCTGTCGAAAAAAAAAATGTCGACAACAAGGTTAGAGTGTGGACGGATACATATATCCGAAGCATTGAGGAGCGTTACGCCAGGCAAGTGGCTAATCTTGGGGAGCGAGGATGTTCTGGGTATGATTTAACGAATATACTCCCAAAAAGCTATGTAGACGAACATACTTTTCCTTTGTTATTGAGCGTTTACATTAGCTTTAAGTAAGTCCTCTTTTTTTTTATTTTAATATGTTTATAAATTTATATCAAATTCATTTTTTTTTATTTCAATTTGTAGGAGCATCCTCAACGGTAACGATACGGCCTATATTGTCAGCTCCACCGGTAGGTCCTACTTCCGCAGTGAGTTGCCAAAGATCGAAAAGTATCTTGGTGATGTGGAGAGGGCTGCCGGTCGTAACGTCTCCGAAAGACCAACAATCTTGGCGCGCG